GGAAAGAGTATCGATCCTTTTGACGTCGAAATGGCGAATTTAGCTTAGAACTTGGTTAAGGAAGCGGGAGCCAATGTCCTGGAAGATGGTCTCGCGAAGGACACAAAATCTCTCTCCTTCGGCGTAATCCTCATTTAATTGCCGTCTATCCCGCCAATGTACGGCTATCCGCCAATCGTTTGTGTCTGAGATCAATAGCGATTTACGGAACGATGTCACGGGAAGATAATTTTGACGTAACAATGCAGAAATGTCAGGTGGCAGAGGTGGGCTTCGCGTGGGTGATGGCGAGTTTGTAAGACGGTGTTATGGAAGTTGGAAGGATCGTTCAGCGCTCAGCTTTTCAGCGCTTGTTCTTTGATGTTCGATATTATAAGGCTTTCCCGTAGATCTTGAGAAATGGTAGAAGATTTAATGTAAAATATGCGACGCGAGCAAAAATGAAAAAAATGCTCTCAGCCAAAAATGATTTCGTTTTTCTCTTTTCTGGAATTATATCTTCCATTTTTCTAAATTATATCTTATTTGTGAACAAAAAAAAAACAACAATCTTAAATATTTGACAAATATTTCCGCAGAAGATAAAATTGCTATTTTTTGCTACCTCATAGAGGAAGCTTTGTTTTCATGACAAAATTTTTTTTCCAGTTTTCTACGCCAATGTGTTTAGAATGTTTTAAAACGTCGAAAAATCATATGTATGTACGGAATGTACGTTATACAATCTTTAACTTCCGCAAATTTTTAAATATCGGGTTAAATTTTTTTACATAAATAAAGTATCATTAAAAGATGGTTGGTATTGAATTTGGTGAGGATCGGTGAAAGGGTCTTTTATAAAATTTTTTTAGAAATGTACACGCTGTAACTGTCGCAAATTTTGTAATATTTTCCTCTATGAGAAAACCAAAATTGAAAAACTCGTTTGCTTTAAGCTTTGTGAGTGAAATAAAATGATGAGAAAACAATGTGCAAGTTTCTAAATTGCACAATTTTTATTTATTTATATATTGGTATTCTTTGATGGAAAAATAATTTTATTTGATGAATGTGTTACGGTAAACATATACAACAACAATTATTACATGTATTTTTTTTTTTGGTATGTGTACACGAAATTGTGTAAAAACGTAAACAATAGTATCAAAGATC